ACCTGCCTTAATATGATGTTCTTTGATTCCTTTGGAAAATAATAGTTTGAATGAATAAAGGTACAGATAGGATTATAATAAATTGAAAGATAGGTAAACACAGTGATCTGGTTGTGAACCTTTTCTACAATAGCAAGAGTGTGAATATGTTCCCCCAGCCTTTCTATAAACTGATAACCTATGCATATGGACATTGTTGTCTTTCTAATATCTTTTCAAAAATCAGCTGCAGACTGATAGCTGTCTACCAATCTCTGTTCTCCCCTTCCTCCTGTGCACATAGCTAGACTACATTTCCCAGCTTCCCTTACAGTAAGGTTAGACCATCTAAGTTCTCTTCAAAGGAATGGGAGCATAAGTTGTATGTTAATTCCAGGACTTGCCCATAGAACCTCCACACATGTACTTCAAGCTTTATTTGCCTCCCTATGGGAAGGAATGGTGGCAACCAAAGCAAGATTGGACACCATGTGCAAAGTAGAAAGGCTACTTAGGGACCTGACTACCCACTCTGGATTGTTCCATGGCTAAGAATTAAGGCTTTGTTGTGTTTAAGTGTTACACACTTGTATTTATTTCTTAACAGTTTAATTTACCCTACTACATTATAGTAGGAGAGCACTGTATCCCCACAAAATCAGACTTTGTCGAACATAGGGTAGGTACTTGGGAATTGTTGAATGTACAAGCCGCTACACTAGCCCATCCACGAGAGATCTCCCAGAAGGTATAATTACCATGGGACACTAAGCTACAATATTCCCCTACTTGCACATAATCTCATTTTAAGTGGTTATTGATATTCCGGTATTGAGCACTTACTTGCAAAAAATCCTGTTGAGGGAGATGATGTTACTTCCATTTAATACATGAGGAAACTGAGGTTCAGAGAATTAAACCTCTTTAGCAAGGCTGCACAGTTCCTAAATGGCTGAGCCAGGATTAAAATTCAAGACTGAGTTCAAAAATTTTTCCATTACATCATGCTTCCTTAAATATGTGTATGGTATAATATGCCATGTTTCTTTAGATTTGTAATCTTGAGACTATAATACGATTCAGAACAAAGTATGATCACTTGGAATTTAGCAAATCTCTCAGTAAAGTAATAACACAAGAGATATGTAATTGTAACCAGTTAATAGAGCCATTTAATTAGTCTCATAATCAGCTTATGATCACCTCTTATACTCTTTCTTCCTAAGTGACTTTTAAACCTACAGAGTAAATACAGTAAAAACTCAGGTAGAAAGTATGTTGGTTGAATTTGAGACACCATGATTAGATTATTTCCTGGTTAGAGATCAGAAAACAACAGACAACATTTTTTATTTTAGTCCTTACTTTATGGAAAATCTTAAAAAATTTAGAAATTTGTTTTCTGACCATTGAACAGACTGGTGCAGTGGTATCCCAAATTAGAGTAATGTACTCTAGGGGTTGTTTTAGATGGACTTTGGGTATTGAGGGGTTGAGTACACATATAAGAATGTCTATTTATTTTAATAAAAAATCTATATATAATAGCAATATATAATTACATAAACATATATACAAAAATAATGTTATTCTTTTTGACAGTAGAGGATCACATGTGATGTCATATGAGTTATGCTGGAGCAAAAGTGTGGAGGACTGGACAGGCATTTATTAGTTTAATTTTGCCATATTACAAGATATTGAAGTTTACAAGTTCGTAGTTAGATTTCTCAATCACATTATCAAGATTTTTAAAAAACAACCTTTGCAAAATGACTAAAAGATTCCTGCAAAGAATATTGATGATATTGCTAATAATGTAAGCACAAGTGACTAAGAATTTCACAGCATTCTTTGTCAACTACATTATTAATGTAGATGCAAAACGAATAAAAAAACCATCAAGGTCTAATTAGACCAGCCAAAATATCCTACAAAGTTCAAAATTAACAAGAAGACTTCGATACATGATTTACATCCTGTGTAGTAACAGTAAATTTCACCTTAAATGTTGTATGCCTTAGGATATTAGCGAATTATGACACTACGTATACATAATTTCTAGATATATATCTGCTGAGAGCATGTGTTTAAAATAAGAAAACACAATGAAGTTTGTTTGGGGACCCTTACTACAACCCTTTATCGTACTGCATTGGCAATATTCATTTACATGTCTGTTTTCTATACTAAATACTAATTTCCTTGAGGCAACAGGGACTATGTTGTATGTTTGTATCTAGAGTATGTAGCCTTTGACTTTGCAGTGGCAGTTGCTCAGTGCTAAATGGAAATAGAAGTTCACAGCCAACATTAAAAGGTGAAAAGGACTAAAACCACCTGCATTCTCTCACCAAATATTGTAGACAGTTTTTGGTCATGTGATCTGGAAAAACGTAGTTTTACTTTTCTCATCTAGAAACTAGGGTGAATACTTGCTCTACCTATCTTGGTGGTTTCTTATGAAACTCAGATGTAAATATCAGTGTAAATTTTAAAGCCATGTACAGCTGTGATATGTTTATATTTTTGAAATACAAACTACTTTGGAGGCTTAATGTCTGAAAAACTTAAGAAAATGACCGAGGAGAAAAATGTCAATGTCCTGAAAATTAAATGCCTTTTAATATGTTCACCCTTTGTAATGCTGACACTTTCTTTCAACTGTTCAAATAAATTGAATGTACATGCTATTGTTAATGGAATTTTTTGAAAAAGAGATGGGAATGTAGACATTGCTTAATGTTTCCAAGTGCAACCTATGATTCATGTGGTTTCAGCATTCCCTTTGTTCTTGCTTTAGTTAGTTATGCTTAAAAAGAACTGATACAGAGATAAAAAATGGAAATAGAAAAACTAAAGGAAAACCAATGGGCAGCTTCCCTGTTCTGTTTGAGAGCTCATTTCCTAAGAATATCAAGATTTATAGTCACATATGAAGGCAAGTCTAGTACTTCATTTCTATTTTGTTATCTAAGGTAACTGAGTATCTTTGGATTTTGTCTTTTTTTTTTTTTTTGATTGTGAGAAAACGCACTATAACGGTTTAATGAAACCAGGGACATATGGCACCTTGGGAGAAAGGAGTTTGGCATTAAAATCTCAGGGCTTTAATAGGTAGGGATCCCAGGAGCAAGGATAAAAGGAGCGAGGTTTGTGTGGAATTAGGCTGACCTGTGCTACTTGATCAGAGTTAAAATGCTTGAGACTTCAAGTGAGACATTTCCTGATTATGTTCTGATACCACCTCTCGATGTTTTCCTGAACATGTTTGTACTCTCTTCATTTCCCCACAAACCATTTGCTGTCCTTCCCCTACACAAATCGTCCATGGTTGTCTCCTTTTTATGTTAACTTGCCTTCTACTATTCTTCTCCTTTAGTCCTTTTGTTTCTTGCATGTGTGGCCTTGTCTAAGTGTTTATATATTATGCGTATGTGATTGTGATATGTGAATAGATTTGTTTAAATGATGATGAAGTGCAACTTGTAAGGTCTGAAGAAATGTTTTGAAATAGAAGCAACATCCACTAATAATTTGCAACTGTATGAATTATACTTGCTATTTCTGTTTTCACCTTAATGATTTAACTGGATACCTTCACTAGTATATCAAAATAGAGCATCTCACAGTGACAGTTGTTATGCTAGCTGTCCCTCATAGGGATTGTTCTACTCATTCATTGATTTAGAACATACTTATTGAGCACGTCATGTATGTCAGGTATTATTTTAGGTACTTGGGCATCATCAGTGAACAAAATAGACAAAAATATCTTGTATAGAGTTTAAAGCCTAGAGGAGAGAGACAGCCAATAAATGACAAAACCAACGAATTAATTAGCTAGCTAAATAGATGATACTGTATATTAGAAGGAAATACATGCTTTCAAAAATACAGAAATAATAGGTGTACTGGGGGTGGGGAATGGGGGCAGGTATTGGTACAGATTGCAATTCTATATAGAGTGTTGACAGTGTTGGTTTTATTAAGAATGAGACATTTGCAAACCCAAAGGAGCAAATCAGGAGCTGGACCAGATGGATCATTTAGGGCCCCTAAAATCTCACTACAAATGTGATACCTATTCTGCCTAAGTGTAGGGTTGGTCCCAGTTTAAGTCACAACAGGGTTAAATCCAGAGGACACCATTCATTTCTCTTGGCTGTGTGATTCAGCAATAGAAGACAGAATCCTTAGAGAGGCATTGGTTCTCATGCTAATGTGTAATATATAGGAAGACAAATTTTATATTGGTAATACCTTCATACATTCCACAAATTCAAATTTCAAATATATAAAATATGGCAATTAGGCCATAAAAATGCACCTTGGGATACACTGTGTAATTCTCCAAAGAATCTAACTTCACAAAATGAAGTGGTCTGGAAATAGGACAAGTATCTAGTGCTTAGCCAAAATATTTCTCTGGTGACATAAGAACTGGGGGGCCAAGAACGGCATCACCCACTCCAGATTTCTGGCTTCCTCCCAGGAGTCTAAATATTTGTTTCCTGAGAAATACCACTTGAATAATTTTTTGACCTCTGGACAGGATACCACAAAGCTAAAGCTGCATTGCCCTTATTTTGTTAGCTGGAGTCAGGACTTAATTTTTTTTGTGTGTGTGTGTTTTTTTGCACTGTGGTAATGCAGCTATATTTTGGATAATCTGGGTAATACTGCTTACTATTATTCTGGGAGATAAAATCCTAAGGAAGGAGCAGAATCTGTAGACCCCATGGAAATTCTAAATACATTCTGAAGAGTTTGAGTGCAAAACATAAAAAGAGAAACTCAAATCCAGGCAGACCTTAGCAGAATCCTGATGCAAGACATTTACCTAAAGAAACAGAAGATAGGTCACAGCATGAGTTGTGCCCTGAGGGGGAATGTTGAACTACAGTATTCATTAACCCAGTATGAGAGAAACCTGAGACGTTGTTTAAAAATATCCATGACTCAGATCAGAAGGTAGTCAATAAATACACTCTTTCTTCTTAGATGATTAAATAGACCCAAGAAAAGTCATGGGAGATTTTGGAGAGACTTTAGGAAGAATCTTATGAAACATTGGAAATGGTTCATGAGGAAAGTTGTGGAATCTTCTCTCGAGAGGTTTATAAGTAGGGGAGAGTCTCATCTGTCTGTGATGGTTTGAGTGCAGCAGCAAGATGTAGCAACCCTAAGGTTTCCTATGTAGTACTACATTTGGTACACCAGCTTATTGGGAATCATGTTGTCTTTATATAACATTGGAGTGTACTGGCATTTGCACTTAATTTATTGGTTAAGTGATATGTTTTTTAAAAATGAACAATCTATAAACAAATTCTAACTTTTAATAGCTTCCTCTCTTTTCCAGACATAATATCATGACAGTCTGAGTATGTTTTTTTACTGTGTCAATCATAATTATAAAATTTGTGATGATTAATATTAACATCACCCATTCTTCTTAGAAGGAGGGAAAGTAATGTGGACTATGCCAGTCCTCATAAGCCCTGTTACCTAAACCATTTTATAAAAGAAAACAGTATTTATTTAAATAATTTTATTTTCATTGATATCAGGAGGTTACCACATTTAATGCTCTTTTGCTGTAAGTTCATTTGCTTTTAACCAATATTACTCTCCTTACATAGGGCTTGTAGAGACAATTTATAAGAAGCAGCTGGATCTCACATTTGGAAAGGTAAGTTTTAATTTTATTAAACTTCATAATAAAATCGCATAAATGTATTTGTAATAAAACAAAAATTTAAAGTATTTTTCAGGGAATAATTAGAGCTAGACTGGGAAGGTCATCAAGCTGATTTTGGCTATTGAGGAAATTAAGATCCTGAGAAAGGGAAGTTTGTATCTAATATTACAGTGGTGGCATTAGGGCCAAAACTCAGGTCCCCTAACTCACAGTCTAGTGCTCTTTACAACCCACATCACTCAGTCTTTCTCAGTACTGGTGGTTCTGTGTCTGGTCGGGTAGAATGAGATGTAACATCTGTTAGGGCTAAGAATCTGTTGGCTCATAGAATCATGATAACCATATGAAAGTGTAGCGGCAGAAACATGTTCCTCTTCCTTGTAGGTTCTTTGGTCTAATAATCAAACTGCCATAATACAGATTAATAAGAGAAAAAATTTCATACATGTGGGGAGCTCCATAAAAATGAGGCCCAAAGGACAACTGAGATAACTGAGGCTTATAATAACATCCTGAGGAAAGGAGAGCGGGCTGGGGATACAAAAGGGAGGAAGGCCTTTCAAGGAAGGTGAGAGAAGATGGTTGGAAAACAAAGGTTACCCTGGTATCTCTGGTAATAGCTCTCTTCCTGGTACATGCCCCCTTTCCAATGTAAATTAGGCAATTGAGGGGGAGATAAAGAGCTTTTCCTGAATCTGCAGTTAAAAAAAAAAATCAGCGTGAAATGATCCTTATGCCAAAGGGACATATTTTGGGGTGACAAATTCTCCTCCCCTTGAAAAGTGAGAGATGACACAGAGTATATTCTTTGAAGAAGAGGCACACAGGAAGGGTACCATGGCAGAGGGAGACTAACACAGAAGTATTTCTTATGAGTTTAGAGATGACTTTGTTCTTTTAGGATTCTTTTAGAATAATGAGTTAGGAGAAAGGAGAGATACTCATTTACCATGCATGGAAATGCAAACAAATTTGGTATCATGGGAATTTGCCTTACATTAAATGTCATAGGCAATAGTTAAGAAATTAAATGTGGCATATATTGGCCACAACAGTATCCCACCAAACCTTAGAAAAATATATATATTTATAGTTGTTGAATTTTTGTTTGTTATTAATCTACAATTACATGAAGAACATTATGTTTACTAGGCTCCCCCCTTCACCAATTCCCCCCCCCCCTCCCCCCCCCCCCCCCCCC